GAAGTTTCTGAAAATACGATCGAACTTAGTGATTTTAATATCGTAAATAATAATAAAACGTTTCATTTTTACCGTCGCATTAGCAAAAAAGAAGTTGAGGAGGCTTTAAAGAAAACCAAGGGTGGAAAGTCTGTAGGACCTGATGATATCCCAATTGAAGTGTGGAAATATTTGGGAGATTTGGGAGTTTCTTGGCTTACTAAACTCTTTAATATTATTTTAAAAACTAAAAAGATGCCTGAGGAGTGGAGGAAGAGTATTTTGATCCCCATTTTTAAGAATAAAGGGGATGCACAAGAGTGTGCAAATTATAGAGGAATTAAGTTGATGTGTCATACTTTAAAATTATGGGAGAGGGTAATTGAACATAGGTTAAGACGCATCACAAAAATTTCTCATAATCAATTTGGATTTATGCCTGGCAGGTCTACTATGGAAGCTATACATTTATTGAGAGGTTTGATGGAGAAGTTCAGAGATAATAAGGAGAATCTACATTTGATTTTTATTGATTTAGAAAAAGCTTACGATAAGGTTCCAAGAGATATCCTTTGGAGAGTTCTCGAGAAGAAATGTGTTGATATGACTTATATTCAAGTCATTAAAGATATGTATACTAGAGCTGTTACTTGTGTTCAAACTGAAGGAGGATTGACAAAATATTTTCCTATTTCTGTTGGTTTACATCAGGGATCGACTTTAAGCCCATATCTTTTTGCTTTAGTTATGGATGGTCTTACTGGACATCTACAAGAGGATGTACCTTGGTGTATGCTTTTTGCTGATGATATTCTTCTCGTGGATAAAACGAGAGAAAAAGCCCAGGAAAAACTTGAATTATGGAGGTCTACATTGGATTCTAAAGGCCTTCGTTTAAGTAGAACTAAAACTGAATATATGGAATGTAATTTTAGTAGTAATAACTCTAGTGACAGCAGTGTGACTTTGGGTGATCAAATTATTAAAAGGTGTGAACGATTTAGATATCTTGGGTCCGTTGTCCAAAGCGATGGTGATATAGATGGGGATGTTAATAGTAGAATTCAAGTTGGTTGGTTGAAGTGGAGGAATGCTTCGGGCCTTTTGTGTGATAGAAAAGTACCGCTAAGACTGAAAGGAAAATTTTATAAGATGGTGGTGAGACCTGCAATGCTCTATGGCGTTGAATGTTGGCCTTTAAAAGAGAAGCATAATAATAAGTTAAGTGTTGCCGAGATGAGAATGATTAGGTGGATGAGTGGCTTTACACTTAGAGACAAAATGCGGAATGAATATATTCGTGATAGGGTTGGTGTAGCTCCTGTGACAGACAAAATTAGAGAAAGTCGTCTTAGATGGTTTGGTCATATTAAGCGTCGACCATTAGATGATCCGATTAGGAGAGTAGATGTTTTAAATTCGACTTGTGTTAAGAAAAACAGAGGTAGACCTAGGAAGACTTGGGCTTATTGTATTAAAAATGATCTTAATTTACTAGAACTAAATGAAAATATGATACTAAATAGGACGCAATGGAGAAAAAGGATTCATGTAGCCGACCCCACATAGTGGGATTAAGGCTTTGTTGTTGTTGTTTTGTTGGCATTACTCTGTAGCAATATATTTCAATTGCTGTTCTGAAGGCTGTAAGTGTTGCATCTTCAGGCGCCATCTTGATCAGATTGTACCCGGATGATTCATCCATGAATGAGAAAATTTCACGTGACGATGCGATGTCCACCATTAGTTCTGGGGTTGGTAATGGGAATTCATCCTTGAGGCATGCTTTGTTTAAGTCTCTGAAGTCAATGCAAACTCGTATTTGTCCATTTTTCTTCTTGACTGGCACCACATTAGTTAACCATGTTGGATATTGTTCTTCTCTTACAAAGTTGGCCTCTATTAGCTTTTTGACTTCTGCAGTGACCTGTTGTTCTATCTCGAGGCGCATCCTTCTAGGAACTTGCTTCACATATGCATGATTTTCATAATAATATTTGTACAAAATTAACTAACAATTATGCCAGTACAAGCTTTCTATTGATCTGAAAAGTAAGCATGTGAAATTTAAACCCGATTATAAGATCATTGTGTGTTGAAAAGAAGATTGCATTTGAAGCCTTTAAGTTGAATAATAAAAGGAATGAACAGTTGAAGTTATGCGACATATTAAAACTAATATTTTCAAAATAGAAATTCTAGAAAACTTTACTATAAATCCAGTTTTCTACTCTCTTATCACCTCTTGTGTTACATCCAACTTGTTGTTAAATATGTTTATATGGCTTATTTCTGAGGCTATTTTGGATGACAGTATTGTGTTTACTGATTGCAGATTTCAAAGATATCTTATTCAGTAGCATACATATATGAGTATGATGATTCATGGATTACACATGTTTGTTCTCATCACAGCTATCATATCAAGCATTAATTTTTAGGTAGCTATGTATTTTATTTTTACTAGATAGCTTCTTTCCATTAGTTGCTTCATTTTATTTCTTTTTAGGGCATGTCATCAGCATTAGTCAAAAAGGTTATACCGGCCATAAAAGGTATTTCCCAAATATAGAATAGTTTATCTGGTTGGTTAATTTCAATCTTGATTTAGTTAAGGATAATTCAAACTTTACTGTTTGGTTTGATGTATAAAGTTTAATTTTCTGAAAAAGAATTTTTCATGCGGGGAAACAGATATTAGATTATTATTGTTAGCTTGGCGGTGCTAAAATTATGTATCAAAAAAAATATATTGATGTAACACTTATTTGCATCAATGCACTAGTTTAGAGCTTCAATGAAATTGCTCTTTCGGCTTTCAATCTTATGAGTATAAGTTAGATGTGTAATTCATTTGAGCCCTATACAGATATGACTATCTAATTCCAAAAGTTATCACGTTGTAACGGTATGAGATATGTTCTACTACTTAATAAATTTAAGTCCATGTTAAATTTTTAATTTATATATTGTTATTGGCAATTTGCTTCTCTTATTTCTTTTATCAAAAATGTAATTTTACTAAAATTAATTTGCTTGCTCAATGTTCTAATTATTTCCAAATTCTTCCTGAAATTCTCAAAATTTTATGATCACTGCTTTATAAATTATGTTTGAAGACTAGTATCGGTAGCAAGCATTAAAAAAAGGTGAGTTGTTGATTCAAATGACAACTAGTAATCTTTGAATGCCCCCTTCTTTTGCATGACAGCATACTACGTACTATATATTAGTTGCATTACGAAGCCCGAACCTTGAGTGGTACTGCATCAACGCAACTATGCAATAAATCAACAATACAACAACAAGCCCTTATCCCACTAAATGGGATCGGCTAAATGAATACCTTTTCTCCATTGTGTCCTATTGAGTGTCATATTTTCATTTAATGCTAATAGATTAAGATCATTTTTATACAATATGCCCAAGTTTTAGGTCTACCTCTCGCTTTCTTAACATAAGTGAAATCTAAAACATCTATTCTCCTACCAAGATCATCAGAAGATCGACATTTAATGTGAAAAAACCATCTAAGACGACTCTCTCAAATTTTGTCCGCCACTAGAGCTACACCAACCCTATCACGGATATATTCATTTT